AGCAAGAGATGAGAGACAGACTGGAAGGGAAGGTGGGAATAGCAAACAGCTCACAGATGGGGGGGGGGGGGGGGGGGGGGAGAAAGAAAAAAAAAATCATCTGATACCCATTAACTTAATAATTAGACAACAAACCAGACTGAAAAATACTTGTGTCTTCTTGCTCTCCCCAAAAACACCATGACCCCCAAGGTGTAGGTCTTCCACAATTTAACAGAAAAGAATGATTGTGATATCATACAGCATCACTATTGTCCATTAACTTCCTGTGTAATAATCTTCAATGTAAAATGCCTTCAACAGCATCATCATCTTCAATCTAAGAGGTCCGGTCAAACAATTTTTCAACATATGATAAATATCACACCAAGTAATCCAACACATTGCCAAGTCATATTCGACTAGCTGGTCAGGCCACAAAAGCTGGTTTGACAGAACAAGTATTAAGTAATCTGCAGTGCTTATATGATTCAATCAACCCTAACTTCTAGGTCTCTTGGTTTTGTTTTACCCTCCTCCCCTTTGGCTTTGCTTCAACTCTTCCTCCTGCTTACCTACCTCAAAAAAAAAAAAATCACATTTCTCCATTGCTCTACATTACAACCAGCCCACAGCTACCATGGCGGGTGGGTGCTACTTTCAACCAGCCCACAGCTACCATGGCGGGTGGGGGCTGCTCTCTCCCTCCTTCGACTGTCTGGAAGCTGAATAGCACTTGCTACTCTACCTTCTTCAACCCCAATTTCAGTTCCCAATCCCACTAAATAAGACCATCATCATTCATGGCTGATGTTGCTCAGAACTCTTGCAAACGTGACAGAATGAAACTGAGCCAGTTCATTTCGGTTTAACCAATGTCCAAAGTGATTAAGAGGAGAGTGAAAACTGACAACTTTGAAAGTCCATCTTCTTGTATGGACAAAGGAAGCTCGTGACAGCAGCAGGGGCACTGGAAAGATGCCTGCAGGATAAACATAATAATGTACTAATTTAGCCTTTGTCTGCACTTGTATATCTTTCCAGCTAGTAAAACTAAAAACTCACATTAAAAATAGAAAGCTTAAATGGAACAGAAAGCAATAACTTCTATAAAGCGTAGTAGTATAAAGCATTTTTCAGCCATGCCAAAATCCTAGGCACACCTGAGAAGATTAGAAAGTTCTTACTCAAACTGGCACTGTACATGAAGTGAAGATTGATACACACACGTTCCTGAATTCAGAACATGTCAGATAAGTTGAACTTGACTGCAAGCTCATTTCTACATCAATATCTTACAGATTTGGGCCCTGACAGTTCAAAAATCTCCTAAAACTACCTGTTACCTCTACCAGTTTAAAAGGTAGATGATCTGTCATCATCCCCGGTGATCAGCTCCAGTGCTGATTTTGTAAGTTCTAAACTTTCTATTTTTGAAGTAGGAGTAAATTTCCTTTAAAAAGTGACAGTCATAAGTTGAAAATTAAACTCCGTTCAGTTTCCAAGATCCCCATGTCTGTTTTATACTAAAGCAAAAAAAAAAAAAAAAGTTTCCAAACTGCAATTCTCTTCATAGTTCTGCATTCTAGCCCAAGTTCAGTGTAATATCTATTTGAAGAACAATAAACATCTTTTGGGTACTGCTTAGCTATGTCTCAAAGCTTCTGCTGAAAGTCTTTATGTTATGGGTACAAGTCACCTCATCACATATTTAAAAGTAGTTACATTACCTGAAAGAGAGAAAGCATGTTCCCACACACACACACACACACATCAAGTTTCAACACGATTAACAAAACTTACTTTTCAACCTATTCATTTTATTTTGTGGCTGGGTAATTTTCCAATAATGTGTTACAGAGGAGTTCAACATCAGCTGAAAGTCATAGATGAGATACCATGAAGTGGCAGCAAAATACTATTAAAATTTTATGTAAATCGTCATAAATGACCCCAATTATAACTTGATGCCACGTTTCCAGTTGAACACAACACACAGAATTAGAATACGCCTTTGCACAGGCTGAACAAAAATCTGTTTGGGCTGGAGCAGACCTCTACCTAAAACCAAACTTTCCCAGCTGAACTAAACTGCTGTAAGCTAAAGCAAAGCTGTGCTAATGCTAAGCTCCTATGCTAGACTGATTCTTTCAAAGCCTGGCAAGCCTTATAGCTCATTAACAACACCTTCACGAAACCCCAGCCAGGAAGCAATCACTCTGGCAGAATGCTGGAAGTAGGCACCTATTAAAGAACAATACTGAGGCCTATTTAACAACCAAGAAACTTTCCGAAGGGACTTTTAGGAGAGAGTGGATAGCAAGGATTTAACATGTATTTATACCCACATCTGAGTGCAGCAGAAGGGTCTGTTCTTTCACACCAACTGAGGCTGCTTGTCTAATTTGCTTTACAGCATAACACTAAGAAGTTAAATACTCGGTAGAAAATGCTCAGTACGTTCAACACAGTAAAAGCCTGCAGAAGATTTGGAAGGCTTTTGCCCAAACAACAACTTTAAGACACATCCACGAAAGGGAAAGTTTCAGTAGAATCAAGTGGGCAAATGTGTCTAAGCAGCAGTTCAGACAGATGCTGGCTGGGCTATCATTTCCAATGGCTTCCCGCACCTCACTTAAAACTGATCACCAAGAGGACTCAATAGCTCACAAAGACACTCTCATGGACCCAGAGGGAGACAGCCTTCCATCTTCAGCTCCCTCCGCGCAAAAATTAAGTTTATTTCCTACTTATGGGGACTTTTTACCATCTTGTACCATCTATACTTTTTCCAGAGCCTGATGAAGGGACTTTGATCCAAAAGCCTGCAGAAAAGGACAATTTTCTTGCAATTTCCCAGGTGGCCTAATGAAAGTTATCGTTTTGGAACCAAGAGTTCTAGTTTTTTGTATGTCTTCTTGTCTCAGACTAACACGGCTACCAAGTACACTCCCGAATAACTAAAATGCTTTAAAAAAGAAAAAAAGTGGCAAGGGCAGACACAATCTAGCTTTTTAGACACGCGCTTTGTTTTCTGGAGGGAGAGTGTTATGACCCCCCGAGGCGCAGGGTCGGCTCCTCGGACACGGAAAGGCCGGGCATCAACCGCTCACGCGCAGACTCCTCTTCCTGCGCTCCCCACCAGCCCGGGGATCGGCAGCGGGTCCACGCCCGCCACCGCCCGCTCGGGACCCGGCCCCAGGCCGAGACCTGCCGGGTGCCTCTCCCCTCCCCTCCGCCTGCTGTCAAACCTCACCCTAGGGGACAAACGGGGCCAGAAGCCAGGCTCGCCCCCCGGGGGCTCGGGCAGCAGAGAAACCCCCGAACTCCCCGGGCCGAGTGTGGGCA